TAGATATACAATTGAGCAAACTTTGGCTGTCATTTTTTAGTTGGGACTTGGGAGTAAGGAACCAATTATATGAAAATTTTGCCACTTAAAATAAATTGCGACCCATATAATTTAAACTTTTATAAAACTTACTTAAGATGGAAAATTTACACTTTTCAAAAGATTTCAAATCATTGCATGAATTACACGTAGCAAATTTTTCAGCATAATTGCTCCGAAATATAATATAGTATAGATTTCATATTCAAAATTCAAAATTAGAATTTAAATTTATATTTAAAAATAATAAGTTATGTCTAATTTATATTTTAAAGTCACATATAATTTTAAAAAAATTATATATAACTATAAGTGTAATTTTACTTTGATTTTAAGTATATGTATTCAATTCATTTGTTTTACTTTCCAAAGAATTGGCTGATATTACTCCACAATTCGATATCATGACTAATTTTATTGATTGTAAGTTTAATAATAACATCGGTTAAAAAAAAAACTTCTTCCATTTGGTTTGGACAAAAATTAAAATAATCATTAGATATTTTTAATTTTTAAAAAACATCAATAGTACAAAAATTAAAATAAGAAATAGAAATTTAATTATAAAAGAAGAAAGGCGAAAATTTAATTTAATTATAAAAAAATATTGGCAGGCCGATCCTCCGTACTGAATCCAGTTTGCAACCTCTAATTGTCAGCATTATATACCAGCAAGTAATATGTTTTATATTTATCCACATAAAAAAATTCTTATAGTTGCATCAAAGATTTTATATTTTATCTCAGAGATGGATATTCATTTATAACAATCAGAATTACAAAATAATAATAAATAATGTTTTTGCAAGGATTTGTATCCTTAGTATTTTGAATTTTAAAAATTTCTATTTACAAAAAATGAAATCAGATTTAGAAATATAATTATAAAAGAAGAAGTATGAAATTTTAATTTAGTTACAAAAATAAGTTGGTGGGTCAGTCCTCCGGGTCGAGCTCAGTTTACCACCTCTAACTATCAGCGTGTAATATGTTTTTATATTTATCAAAAAAAAAGTTCTCATAACCGCATTTAGGTTTTTATATTTTATCTCAAATATGGACTTTCATTTATTACAATCACATTTAAAAAAAAAAATAGTTATTTTTTGCAAGGATTTAAGTCATTAGTATTTGAAATTTTACAAATTTGTATTTACAAAAATTAAAATCAGATTTATGAATTTAATTATAAAAAAAGAAGGATGAAATTTTAATTTAATTATAAAAATATGTTGGTGGGCCGGCCCTTCTCTTCGAGTTCAGTTTGTCACCTCTAACTATTAGCATGCAATATATTTTTATATTTATCCACACAAAAAAGCCTCTTATAGTTGCGTCTAGGTTTTTATATTTTATCGCAGAGATAAACTTTCATTTATTACGATTAGATTTATAAATAATAATAAATAATTATTTTTTTTGCAAGGATGTGTGTCGTTAGTATTTGAAATTTTAAAAATTTGTATTTACAAAAATTGAAAACAGGTTTAGGAATTTAATTATAAAAGAATAATAGTGAAATTTTAATTTAATTATAAAAATAAGTTGGTGGGTCGGTCCTTCGGGACAAACCTAGTTTGCCATCTCTAACTATCAGCATGTAATAGATTTTAAAATTTATCCAAAAAAAAATATTCTTATAGTTGCATTTAGATTTTTATATTTTATCTCAGAGATGGACTTTCATTTATTATAACAGATTTAAAATAATAATAAATTAATATTTTTTGCAACGATTTGTGTCGTTAGCACTTAACTTTTTCAATGCGTTATAAAATACACCATTGTTTAAAGAACCAAGTAACATCATTAGGTCTTTCCAAAATAATGTGGTATAAGTTGTTAAGAATTATATTTTTATATTTTCTTGACAATGATTTGTTTTTTTCCTTACCACAATGAGAAAGATAATTTACAGTGAGACAAATTTAAAGTTTAAATTAGTTAGTTTTTGTTTGAGTCAAATTTAGAATTTAAATATTAAAAATACAAATCAAGCGTTCAAAAAACAGTAAATTTTTTGTTTTTAAATTAGACGCTCGAAATTCTTTTTATCATTTTTAAAAAGATATTAAAATTTAAAGTTTTTTTTAGTTAATTTTTGTTTGAGTCAAATTTAGAATTTAAATTTTAAAAATACAAACTAATCGTTCAAAAAACAGTAAATATTTTGTTTTTAAATTAGACGCTCGGAATCTTTTTTATCCTTTTGAAACAGATATTAAAATTTAAAGTTTAAATTAGTTAGTTTTTGTATGAGTCAAATTTAGAATTTAAATTTTAAAAATACAAACCAAGCGTTCAAAAAATAGTAAATATTTTATTTTAAATTAGACGCTCGAAATATTTTTTATTCTTTTTAAACAAATAATAAAATTTAAAGTTTAAATTAGTTAATTTTTGTTTGAGTCAAATTTAGAATTTTAATTTTAAAAATACAAACCAAGTGTTCAAAAAACAGTAAATATCTTGTTTTTAAATTAGACGCTCGAAATCTTTTTTATCCCTTTTAAACAGATATTAAAATTTAAAGTTTATATTTCTTAGTTTTTGTTTCAGTTAAATTTAGAATTTAAATTTTAAAAATACAAACCAAGCGTTCAAAAAATAGTAAATTTTTTGTTTTTAAATTAGACGCTCGAAATCCTTTTTATCCTTTTTAAACAGATATTAAAATTTAAAGTTTAAATTAGTTTATTTTTGTTTGAGTCAAATTTAGAATTTAAATTTTAAAAATACAAACCAGGCATTCAAAAAACATTAAATATTTTGTGTTTAAACTAGACGCTCGAAATCCTTTTTAAACAAATATTAAAATTTAAAGTTTAAATTTAAATTGGTTTGAGTCAAATTCATATGAAATGTTTTAGTTGAGAAATAAGTTTGTTGAAAATGTAGAGAAAGAAAAATGTTTGAAATAATGATTTGTTTTTTTTAATATTAGATCTTTCCAAAACAATGTGGTATAAGTTGTTAAGAATTATATGGCTATATTTTCTGATAATGATTTGTTTTTTTTTCTTGTCACAATGAGGAAAATAATTTATAGTGAGTCAAATTTAAAGTTTAAATTTGTTGGTTTTTGTTTGATGTCATTGTTTAAGAAATTCTTTTATCCTTTTGTTTTATATTTTCGATTTTTTTAAAAATAAATTCTGGAATATTCACTTATTTTTAAACGATGTTGGTTTCAAGGCTAATTATGATAAATTTAATTAGAATATAAAAAAGCTTCATATGCCTGTACTATATTTTGAAATTGAAGAGCCATCCATTTCTCTTCTAGTTCATATTCTCGTCATGAGCATGCAAAGCAGAGCTTTTCAATGTCTAATTACATTGAATTAGGCTAGGCACTTATACAATAGGAACAAACAAAATTAAAAAAAGTAAAATAATAAATTAATAATGATAATTAAAGCAAAAAATTCCTAAAAGAAAAATTGCTTTAAAACAATGTTGCTGGGTTGCACAGAACAAACATAAATTAAAGAACATCAACAACAATGCGAAACAAGTTATGCATGGACAGGAAGAATAGAAGGGAAAACTCATCTTCCTCTTGCAGACATTAAAGATAGAAAATAGAAGAACTTTAAGATAAAGAAGAAATTTTTACCGTGTTGAATTTTGAGATGGTGATCAAAAAGCACAGATAACACACAGGAGAGAAAAAGACAGAACTTGCCAAAAGGCTAGGGTGAACCACGCAATATGTCATTGCTCGTTGTATACTTTAAAGTTAAAACATTTTATTATATCATTTCATTCATTCATTCATGATATTATATTATGGAGAAAATACTTATAGAAGAGAAGCAGATAGAGAAGAAAGAATGTCATACCTTCCTTTGAGGAAGTACAAAAGCAATATCCCAGTGATTCCAAATCATCCCGTCAGTTTTGTTCTACAACAAAACTGCAAAACAAAAGCAAAAATATTACATATTCATGTGATAGAACAACAATATGAGAAGATGAAGAAGATAAACACACAGATAAGAGAAGAAATATGTGCACAGAAGCTAATTACCAAATGAAAAAAACCAATAACACATATTCTAATTATACACAAAATATTTGCATTTTTTACAAAATATTTTCATTTTTTGTAATGGATAATAAATTAGTTGTCTGTCACCAACAATTGTTTATATGTTTTCCCACCCTTTAAAATTTAAATTCAAAATTAAAAGTTCGAATTCAAATTAAAAATTAAAAATTCAAATTCAAATTAAAATTAAAAATTAAAAATTCAAATTAAAAATTGAAAATCAAGATTTCATAAAGTAGTGGACATTAAATGAGTTGTCCGCCACTAGCAATTGTTAACATATTTTCTCAATTGAATTTAATTAGAAATTTGATTTTGTTTAATATATATTTTTTTTATTCTTTTTTACCAAAGAAGAAAAGGTTTTAAATATCTTGTAGAGTGAATACAAAACTGAAAGTTAAGGAGAAAGCGACACATCAACAAACTTGTCAAAGCATGGGTTTCTTTTAGAATATTAGATGATACGTATCTTATTTTTTTATTAAAGAAATTTGCATTTGTTATTTAACATGACACAATAAACTTTTCTACACACATAACATTTTGTGAGGCCCACACTTTTTGATGAAAAAAGAAAAAAAAAATTACGGCATGCAAAACGAATCTCTATAACATTACACAATCATTTTTCCTACAACATAACTCTTATAAAACTCTTTATTAAATCACTATATCACTTAATTTTAAAATAAATTATTTATTAATAATTTCATCCAAAAAAAATATTATTTATTAATAATTTAACATGTAGGTGTCGGTTGCGAGTGAAAGTGCACACTAAACTAACTGCATCCGTAGCAGAAGAACTTTTTCCAGTTTGACTAGTAAAAAGGAGGTTTAGCTTGCAGAATCTTCTTAAATATGCAACATCAAACAAAATCTCTCTAACCTCTGTTTTCGGGTTTTCCCAGACCAAACAACGTTCCCATAACATCAATTTTTTCGAATTCATACTTTCATTTGGCATCTCATCATCCGCCCTGTCATTTTTACTGCCACGCCTGTTCTGTTCATTTGACTTCACGCTGAAACAAGAGAAACAACTTCCGGATTGGACAAACAACAAGAACACACCTGATTTGGTTTCGTGGGTCAATTTCAAGTTTTGATTTTGTTCATCTTTCTAGGATTGATTAACAAGGTACAGAGAAGAGAGAGAGAGGAGAAGGTGGGGCTGATTGGTGGAAGGTTATGGCTTTTTGGTTTTGTTGCGGAAGTGCTTCGGATCGGTATTACAATTCATTAACAAAAAGTTGAAAGTAACTGTTCATTATTATCTATTTCTCTTGCTTTATTGTTGTTGTTTTGGATCAGACATTTGTGTAGTATGACTATAAGGTTGTGTTTTCTTTTCTTTTTATTTATTTTTTATTTATTTTTTTTGAAGAAAATGAATATTAGAGAGGGCTTTATATTCTGGGTTTAGCTCAGATTCTTGGGATTAGCAAAAATAGTCATGAGTAAAAAGAATCTATTGGGTTAGTTTTGTAGGTCTCTAGAGGCAAAATAAAGAGAGAAGATTTGAGTGTACATTATGACTTAATTGACAACTTATGCATGGTTTAACTGTTCTGGGCGTACTAAGGTGCCTGTTTCTTTGATACTATAATACCTGGAGACTTCTTAAAGTACATTTTTTATGTTCAAACTTTTGCCTAAACTATTCATTTTATTTTATCCCTTTTAACCCAATGGATAATTGATATTAGAGTGTTTATTCATGCAGCAAAAAACGAGGGAAAGAACAACCTACATGGCGAGTGTTTTCTTTGAAGGAATTACACTCTGCTACAAATAATTTCAACTATGATAACAAGCTTGGAGAAGGGAGCTTTGGCAGTGTGTACTGGGGTCAACTTTGGGATGGATCACAAGTATGACTACACTTTATTATTATTGTTATTTTTTATCGAATCAAATCACCGCAGTCTATGCCTTTATGGTTATTCTTGATCATTTAGTTGTGGTTGCTAATTCTTTGCGGGAGGGGGTTATCTAGCGTAACATTTACTTTAAAAATATATTTGGACAGCCTTTTTATTTTTCCTTTAACTGCATATTTTGGAAATGACGAACCATATAAGTGAGTTTTCTCATATACGGGTGCTGTTCCGTAATGACACAGACACATCTAGTCCATCACATGATTATTTTCATTCCTTATTAATTTATCTCCAATCTCCATCCTTGCCAAGAATTGAAGATCGAAATTGATTTGATATCCACACCATCAAAGTATTACTCCCCTCACACTATCATTTCCTTTTATCTACTTTAAGGAAGCAATATCTTCTTGTTTTACCCTCTTTCATATTGAAAGTATTATTACTTAACAATCTGTGTCATTGTTAAGCAATCATGATTTATAATGCATGTATGGTCTGACAAAGTATAAAGGATATACTATAAAACATTTGTACTTCAGCACAATGAATTTGCGGCTTACTTAGATATTCTGGAACAGAGTAGAGTACATAAATGGTATCATTTGTAGATGACACTGGGAAAAGGTTATATAAAACCGCTTTCTCTTTGTCAAATATTATGGGCCATTTCACATTCTTAATGGCTTTGTGGGGTCTGCTTTGATAGTTTGAATCATTTCATAAAGGATCCTATATCTTTCTCAATCTTACTTGATAATTAGTAATGATGATTCTTTCATTGGTGCTGCAAAGGATGAGCTTGAGAGGGATCTGTGTAGAAGAATATTTTCTTTATCGAATTGGGGGTTGAATGGGAGGGAAGTAGAAACTGAATCCACCATCCCCCCGTGTCGTCTATTTTCTGTTGCAACAATCCTTCAATATGAGTGCACCAGTTTTCTTATCATGATTTGTGAGTGAGCCTAAATAATATGATGCCTTGCTGTTGATAAGCATTTTTATGATTCAGTCTTCGTTCTAAGATTGGAGTAAAATAGCTGTCGATTGTATTATAGAAGAGAATGTGTTTGATTTGTGTTCCTCAATGGATGGTTCTTTAAACTCGTAGGTTTTGATATGACCTTGTAGTATGATTTCTAAAGAATATGATCAGAAGTTTCAGTTGCTAATACTGCGAAAACCTCTGTTCAAAACATTTTAGCTAGCGCTCATGAATTGAAGCTATTGAAAATATGTTGATGACTGACAAATATATTAACTGCATTACCATTTTCCTGTTTCAAAAATCTTTCCATTCCATATTTGTGTACGATCCCTGTAAAGTAGATGGCATTTTGATCTACACATGCAGATTGCAGTGAAAAGATTGAAAGTTTGGAGCAACAAAGCAGATATGGAATTTGCTGTTGAAGTTGAAATACTGGCAAGAGTACGACACAAGAATCTTCTTAGTCTACGTGGCTATTGTGCTGAAGGACAGGAACGGTTAATTGTATATGAATATATGCCAAATTTGAGCCTTCTCTCACATCTTCATGGACAGCACTCAGCGGAAAGCCTTCTAGATTGGAATCGGCGAATGAATATTGCTATTGGGTCTGCTGAGGGAATTGTGTGAGTACTAGCCTGACTCTCCCTATGAGCTTCTGGCACTATCATTACATTAATCTCAAATTTTATTACTTTCAGATATCTTCACCATCAAGCAACACCACATGTCATCCACAGGGATATTAAAGCAAGCAATGTGTTGTTGGATTCAGATTTCCAAGCCCGGGTTGCTGATTTTGGGTTTGCTAAATTGATCCCTGATGGGGCAACTCATGTGACTACAAAAGTTAAGGGTACCCTGGGCTACCTTGCACCAGAATATGCTATGTTAGGTAAAGCGAACGAGAGTTGTGATGTCTACAGTTTTGGTATTCTCCTTCTAGAACTCGCCAGTGGCAGAAAACCAGTTGAAAAGATTAGTTCCACGGTGAGGCGATCAATAGTTGATTGGGCATTTCCATTGGTTTGTGAGAAGAAATTCAGTGAAATTGCTGATCCCAGACTAAATGGTAACTATGTGGAGGAAGAGCTTAAAAGAGTTATTTTTGTTGCATTGGTGTGTGCTCAGAATCTACCTGACAAGAGACCCACCATGCTTGATGTGGTAGAGCTATTGAAGGGAGAATCTAAAGATAAACTTTCTCTTATAGAGAATAGTGAAATGTTTAGAAGCCCTCTAGCTGTAGAATACAATGATGATGGGACATTAGCAGCTGAAGACAGTTTGGACTTTATATATGAAGAAAAAGAATTAAAACATGAGTTGAAAGAGAATACTGAGCTATGAATGATACCCAAAAAAACAAAGAAACAAACAAACTATGAACTTGATATCTTAAAATACAGGTTGTGAAGTTTTCAGGTATAACTATAGTTTGTTATTATTGCAATTGGCAAGGTGACACTGGGTGACCATTTATCATATCAGCATGGACATGTTTCCCACTTGCATGGATTTATGAGTGCTTGGGGTTTGTCTATTTGTATACTGTTTTATTCCCCTTGGGGTTATCAATTTGAGATCTGCATCTTGTATTCTTGTTTCACCTTTGTTACTATGCTATTTTTTTTGGAAATAAGGGAATTTCTATGCTTTTAAACTTGGGTTATGCTATAACCAACAGGGTGATGCTAAGCAGTGTGATGCTATAATTTTACTTGCAAAAGCTTCAATTTTACTTTTCTCACAAGCTCTAGCTCCATTAAGATTACTTTGTTAGTTTTTACTCTACTAATCAACAGGGTGATGCTATAACCAATAATTCAAAGTGCTAAGGAGTTTATTACTCTTGATCCGGTGTCTCATTTATTAATTCATCATAAAAAAAATAAGTAAAACAAATGAATTTTGGAAAAAATAATAATTAAAATATCAGAAAAATATTATTACAGTTAATATAGATAAGTTATCTGTATTTACTTTCAAAACGACGTCGTTTTAGGATTGAAAGACTAGAAAATTATAATTATAAAAATTATAATAATCTTGAAATAAATTAAAATTACAAAAATACCATGATTTTCGTCCCAAAATAATGTCTTATTGAACTTATTGTAGATAATTTATCTGCAGTAACTGCAGATAAAGCGAATCCTTAAAATATTACTATTTAAATAAAAATTTATGAAATTAAACATAATATTTTAAAATTAATTTACATATTTATTCCATCCAATCATGTTAAAATGGGCGTGACTACTTCCCTCTAAATAAGGTGCCGTTGCCGATGAAACACTCCCAAATTAAACGTGAGTTATCTCGCGCAAATTAGGCATCACCCACGCCTAAAAAAATGTGACCAACGAGTTATGTGTTTTGTGTACTGTAAAGTTATGTGTTTTGTGTATATAATACGGGGTTTGTATTTATCACGTAACATGTTCATAATTTTTTTTTTACACACACAATATTTTATGGGGCCCGTATTTTTTGAAACAAAAAAAAAATTACGGCACGAAAAATGAATCTCTATAACATAACACAATCACTTTTCTTACAACATAACTTTTATAAAACTCATATAATATAAAGGTTTTATTAATTTTATTAATCTCATGTTAAAGGAAATAAGTTATCTCATGTCATAGGAGATAAATTTATGGATTTCATCACCTAAAAAAAAGTGACACAGTTATAAAAAAGAAAAGGTGCGTAGGAAAAAAAGTTATCACAGCGTAAAATAGTTTTTTTCATAATATAATATGTATAGTGTACAGAAACCAAATCGCCCTTTTGAAATCTCTTAACAGGCACCGCAGAGTTGTCCAGTCTCTTACACTCGTGACTGAAGCCTTCAGAAGTTCACTTATGCCCCAGACGACTGCATAGCGTTAGTTCATAATGACGTGTATCAGACTGGTTTCTAGTTAGTTTTGTTTTTGTTTTTTACATTCCTAATTTATAAAAACAAAAAGTTTTGATTTTTCTCATGTTGTATGAGATAATTTATCTCATATAACACACAAAAAAGTGAGTAGGACCCACTTTAAAGAAGAGAGAGAAAGGAAAAAGATGGATCTCATCTACTTTTTTGTGTGTTGCATGAGATAATTTGTCTCATGTAACATGAGAAACATATTTTCCAAAAAAAAATTGAGAAAATTATTTACAAAATACAATACATTAATGTTTACGTTGTACCTAGGAGTGATAAACGAGTCATGGGCCTTTCAGGGGCTTTGGCTCGGCTCGTGAAGGCTCAGGCTTACATGCCTAATATTGGTTGTTGGAACTAGACTTGGACTTATATAAAAGCTCGTTTAGTAAAAAGTCTCAGACTCCAATTCAAAAGCTCGGCCTTGGAGTCTCTCAGGCTGGCCTAGTATATAAATTTTTATTTTTATTTATATTTTTTATACTATTTGTATTAGCCCTCTCTCTCTCCTCTTAATCCATTTCACCTCTATTTTATTAGTTAAACAGACTTTTTGAATGATTTTATTCTATATTATGTTGTTTCGATATACATTGAATTTATGAATATTTATGGAATTATTAGTGTTTTTGATTATATATTATGTTTGGATAAAATTTTATTGTCTTATTTTTTTCTAATAGGCTAACAGGCCAAATCAGGCTTTTATTTTTTGTAAATAAGACAGACCATAGATCGATAATTATATTCGTAACAGGTAACAGGCTTGGTAAGGCCGACACATTTAATCACAGACTTAACCTTTTAAGATCAAAGCTCGGCTCGACTCGGCCCGTTAACAACTCTAGTACCCTTATATATTTGTTTATGGGTTCGCTTTTTATGCAGTTACTGCAAATAAGTTATCTGCAGTAAGCCAATACGACATCGTTTTGGGACGCAAATCATGATGTTTTTGTAATTTTAATTTATTTTAGGGTTATAATAGTCTTTATATTTATAATTTTTTAAGATTTTAATACCAAAACGACGTCGTTTTGGAATAAATGCAGATAACTTCTCTGCATTAACTGCGGAAATATTTTTCCCTTTGTTTATTTATATAATTTCATATTATTTCAGATTTACATATCAATTATAAAGATAATGAAATAAATACTAACTAATTTATTATGTAATTTACATTGGTTCTAAGTCTTTGGAGTTTGTTTCACAAAAAAAAAAAGGTTTAAAATTTGGATATGATGATAATCTTAAAAAAAAAAAATTCTATTCCAAACAATTCTATTTTAATTCCTACTATCTTTTTGTTAGAGAAATAATTATTGCTACTAGTGTTGACCACCCTTGCTACTAGAATGCTGGAGAATTTATATAAAAAGTATGTATGCTAGAATCATTGAAGATTCACGTAATCTTCCAAACTCTCGTGTAGTGTTTAGTTGAAGGTTTATTTTGGGATTGATGGGAAAGTGTAAGTGAATATTGGAAAATAGCACGTTTGGTTCAGGTTTTTTCAAAAAATACCAGGTAAATAGGATAGATGGGAAAATGACTTTTGTGTTGATTTTTGGATGAAATTCACTGTTACAGAATACCACTTGAGATATGGTATTTTGAGATAACTGGAGAAGTGAAAAAACAAGTGCAAAGTTTCTCCCGAACATAGATTTTGCATATTTAAATAAATTTCTCTGGTAATATTTGGGTCAACCAAACAACTATTTTTACATTTTTCTACCAAATTTATTTTTCAACCATTTCTCTATCAATTACATTTTCCTAGTAAAAAAAAATTTCTCCTGAACCAAACACTGCCTTATGTCTTGCACGTCAACCTGAGGTTGTCCTTTGTGATGAGCAACATAATTGTATATTGGCTAGCTAGGGATTATTGAAGTAGCAGTTGGAAGATATCGAATATGAGTTTTTTTTTTTGGGAGAAATATTTAAAAAGTGGGGTGATTTATTTATTTCTATCATATTTCGTATGAGTAAAACCAGGAATAATCTCAGAATAGTTTTTTATCCATCATTCTCATTTTGAATTACAGCAGGCTAAAAAAAATCTCAACCTACCAATGGTATTTTTTTTTCAATGAGTTGAAGAAAAATAATTAAATGGTATTTTTTTCTCAACCTATCCATCATTTTTTCATTGGTATTTTTTTAAAAATCTCATTTTTTTAAGTTTAAATTAAAAAATTAAACTTAAAAAAATAATTCAAAAAGAGGGAAAAAATTCGTATTTAATAATTATCATTGCAAAAAGCAGTGGGATATTAATACAGTTGTTTGTCACTGAATAATGTTAAACTCTTTTCTCACTTATATCATGTTTAAAATTCAGCTTATCAAAAAAAAATAAAAATCAAACTAGTACATTACTTGTGCGATGCACGAAAGAAAAAGATCAAAAATTTTGTAAGCGATTGTCGTTTATTAATCTCTAAAAGAAAGAACGTGTCACTATATATATATATATTAGGACATTACTTGTGCGATGTACGGGAAAAAAGAAGTGAGATATTAATGCAGATATTTACCATTAATTAATGTTAAACTCTTTTTTAAATATATTAATGTAGATATAAATATAATCACACAAAATTATAAACATTTATTACTCAAAATTTAAATTGTTTTCAAACGACGCATTATGATTGTTCTTTTATCATTATCTTTACTATTTTTTCAAAAAACAAAACGTGGATTAGGTTAAGCTATATAACGTCGGATATTGTTATTATCAAATAATATTAGGAAAAGTATTTCTCCATGGAGATAAAGTTATCTGCAGTGAACTCAAAACGATGTCCTTTTGAGGTTATAAGATTAAAAAACTATAATGATAAAGACTAATATAACCCTATAATATATTAGAATTGCAAAAACACCTTGATTTTCGTCTTAAAATGACGTCGTTTTGGGCTCACCGGATATAACTTATTTTCGTTGACTCGAGACATCCTTTACCCATAATTATTAATACTAATCTTACTATTATATCTTAACTGTTGATTTTCGTCAATAAACTGTTATTATTTATTGTGAATTAATAATTAATTTTATTAATTAATTTGTTGAAATAATAACCGTTGATTGCTGAAAATTAACGATTCAGATATAATAATATCATTGATAATAATATTATTTAATAATAATAATATCTTATATCCCATGTTGTGCTAGAAAAAGCTCTAGTACTTAACTGATAGGAAAGTTTAAGCTCAATTTCAGTGAGTTATCGAAAGTTAGTTGTTATGAAGGGAATCCTAACGTTTGATTTAGGTGAAATTTTCTATTCATAATTTCCTTTATCACAAATATCAATTCTATACAAATTGTTCTCTATTATTTGCCTAGCTGATATTATCCTTTATCATAGTACCTGGCTTTGTTTTTTTGATATAGGCCGGTATAGAATTTACTTCAAATGGTTTGTATCTTGTGTAGATCACTATATAATTGGGTGGCTTGGCGAAACTAAAAGACGTGAATAGGCTTTTTGACCACTGTAGCTTTTATTTAATAATTAATTATTAAATTAACCTTGATTATAAATTATTTCAAAAATTTAACCACTTCAGAAAATATAACATCAATTTGTCCCTGTTTGACCGTTG